TTTTTTTAGTTCCTTTCTTGATGCAGAGTCTATGCCCATTGTTCTTCCTTTTGCTTGTAATATTCTTCCTCTCAACATGGCCAATATAGTCTCACTTTTTAGGGTGTGACTTAAATGGCAGCTTTATAAAAAGACTTTTCCTGACCTAATTTATGGGAAGTTCCTCCTTTTTATGTCTCTAGCTCAGATTCTTATTTGTTTGCTTCACGAATAGCTCATGTATGCCCTCTGAAAAATTTAACTCTTATTACTAAACTGCTAAACACTAAAACTGCTTTAAGTCCCCCAAAGCAAGAGGGGCCAGTTTTGGATTTCCGCTCTATCATAACATCTGATTTTAGCAATGTCGTGGCAATGTATGAACTGGCTTATATATACATTTTAGTTTCAGGCTCACCAATTGGGTATATATTTATAGGTTTCATTAGACTTCTCAACTTTCTCAACAATGCTTAACATAATCTGGACAATCAAATAAAGATACTTTATGTGTTCTTATGTCAGAATTATTTAATCCTATTAATGAACAATAATAATTTCAGATAATTCTTCATATAATTTTTGTGTTCTTTCACTGAATTTTTCTTAACCAGTGATGTTGGTATTTACTTTATAGTGCCTATTGTATTTGTGGCTGCCTCTCTAAAAAAAGGCAGGTGGCAAATTGGAAAGAGCTTGGGCTTTTTGAATGCATCAGAAATGGGTTCGGATAACCACTTCTGGCACCACTATTTTTCCCAGGCTATTAAGTCTCCATAAGACAGGGATACTACTACTGCTGAGATATAACTGTGACACTGCTGTGTATGTGACAATAATGCATAAAGACATCACAGGCTCTCCTTTGTCCAGTCTGATGCTGCTGTATTAGTTTTCCATCAACAGTGACACCTACAGGTGGAGTCTGTGGTGGAAGTCAAGGTTGATAAAGATTTTCCTAGGTACCACTCAAGTGATTTCCTTGCTTAAAAAAGCTTAAAATGATTATTTAAATTATAAGGTAGCCATACTTTAAAAAAATATATATTTTATTAATTTTTCACAGAAAGGAAGAGAGAGGGATAGAGAGTTAGAAACATTGATGAGAGAGAATCATGGATCAGCTGCCTCCTACACACCCTTTACTGGGGATGTGCCTGCAACCAAAGTACATGCCCTTGACTAGAATAGAACCCGGGACCTTCTAGTCCGCAGGCTGACGCTCTATCCACTGAGCCAAACCGGTTTCGGCGGTAGCCACACTTTTTAAAATACATTTATGAAAACATTGGCCAACCACTTTTTTTAAAAACTTTAAAAAAAAATATTTTATTGATTTTCTTACAGAGAGGAAGGGAGAGAGAGATAGAGAGCTAGAAACATCGATGAGAGAGAAACATTGACCAGCTGCCTCTTGCACACCCCCTACCGGGGATGTGCCCACAACCAATGTACATGCCCTTGGCCGGAATCGAACCTGGGACCTTTCAGTCCGCAGACCGACGCTCTACCGCTGAGCCAACTGGTTTCGGCGGTAGCCACTTTTTAAAACACATTTATGAAATTGGCCAACCACTTTTTAAAAAACTTTTAATCTGAAATACAGTTGACTCTTCAACATCTTAGGGGTTAGAGGTACTGACCACTCACAGTCAAAAATCCAGTTATAACCTAAGTTGGCCCTCCATGTATATAATTTCCTAACCACGGGACCCTCACAACTCAAACCCATGTTGTTCAAGGATCAACTGTAACTAAAGATTTATAGTGCAGTCCTAGTCGGTTTGGCTCAGTGGATAGAGCTTCGGCCTGCGGACTCAAAGGTCCCAGGTTCAATTCCAGTCAAGGGCAAGTACCTTGGTTGCAGGCACATCCCCTGTAGGAGCTGTGCAGGAAGCAGATGACTGATGTTTCTCTCTCATCGATGTTTCTAACTCTCTCTCCCTCTCTTTTCCTCTCTGTAAAAAAATCAATAAAATGTATATTAAAAAGAAAATTTATAGTGCAAAATTATTATACAGAGAAGTACCCTTCACGCAGTATTCCATAGTATCATCTTAAATAACTAAAGTACAATATCAAAACCAGAAAAATGACGCTGGTACAATGCACAGAGCTTATCAAATTTTACCAGTTTTACATGCACTTTTCTGTGTGTGTACGTAAATCTATGCAATTCTGTCATCCAAGGAGATTCATGGACCAGCACTGTTTTGTTTCTTATGGTTGCTATGCTTTTTTCAAAATCAAATAATAAAAACAATATTTACAAGTTATCTGCTTTAATTTTGGCTATAATTCTGATATTTTCACCTCCAGTTTAACAGACTAGAAAATATTATTTACATAGCATATAATTGTACAGGGTGGGGAAAACATAAGTTTAAAGTTGTGAAACTGTTTTTTTCTTATATTATTATCTATTATTCATTGTTCCTAATACAGGGACAACTATAAACTTACTTTTGTCACACCCTGTGTTTTGAGTGATAAACTTAGATATAATATCCCAAAACACCATAACATTTTCCAAAACCTGTATTGGCCTTTTTTTCTTATTGAGACATGCATAAAAGATTCTTGGTAGAAGAGAGCAAAACAGCTCTTCTTTCTAGGCCTGCACCTGCTGTCAGAGTGAGCAGCAGCAGGCTACTGGATTAGGTATTGGACATGTGCAATTTCTTAAGATAATTTTCTCCAGGAAGAAACTGATTTTTAAAATCTATAAAACATACATGTTCAAAGTGTAAGAGGCTTTATTAAACAGCATCATTTAACACTCTGATTATAAAATATATTCATTTTGGTCTTAGCTCAGAACACAGAAAGTTGGAGAAACACTATTTGCCCTTTGATGTAGCCAGGACAGCAGTCATGCTAAATACTGGTAGGTATTTTGCTTGTTGCTAGAGGATGTTTATTGTTGTTTTTAACTATAGTGGTTGTCCAATGAGAAATTTGAAATTCTGAACAGTAATTAAACTAAAATTCAAGAATGAATTCCGTTTACGAGAAAAATCAGATACAAAGTAGGGTAATTTTCCTCAGAAAGAAGACTGCAGTAGGCCTCTGCGAGGAAAGCAAGAGGCAAAAGCCTACCAAGCTCAGCTCTTTTTGGAACCTGATGCCACACTGATACCAGGCATCAGAACACAGTCAAACCAATATCTTTTTACCAATTATCCTTTTCCTGTCCACTGGCCTCCTGCTCCCACTTGCTGCTTATGAAAGATTGGAGGACAAGAAAGAACCAGATTATTTATGGAATCTGTGAAACAAAGAAAATATTATGCCTGCTCTTTCTCTTCCAAAAATAGGAAAATTACTCTGCTTTGTTTTGTAACAGAAACAGAGAAGCTTCTGAGAGAATATACAAATTGAAAAACTCAAGAACAATAATGTGATAATTTAAACTAAATTAATTATAGGTTGAAGTTTCAAATCCAGCTGGTGAACAAAAAAGTTTTCTTAAAATCGTAGATAAAACTAAGTGGAGAAGGTAATCTAAAAGTTTTTGCTATGCTAAACTTTTACATTCCTAGACAAATGTCAATAAAAATATTATTAGCACCCAAGATGGGAAAGTTAGAAAAATTTCCAGCTCTTCCTGAATCTAGTCTTACAAGTATAATTTCATTATTTTATTGCAAGTAATGTGAACTCTGCATTTCAGAAAATATATATGAAATACTCTATAATAAACCCTAATATGCAAATCAACTTAACAGAACTACAAGTTGCTATGATGTGCACTGACCACCAGGGGGCAGACACTCAATGCAGGAACTGCCCCCTGGTGGTCAGTGTGCTCCCACAGGGAGAGTGCCACTCAGCCAGAAGCCAGGCTCACAGCTTCCAAGTGCGGCGGCAGTGGAGGGAGCCTCTCCTACCTCCTCAGCAGTGCTAAGGAGCAGCAGGCAGGGGGTTAGTAAGGAGTGAGGGGTCCTGAATTGCAAGAGGGATTCCCGAACTGTGAGAAGGATGTCTGCCGAGGGGTCCCAGACTATAAGGCCAGGCTGAGGGACCTCCCCTGCCCCTACCACCAGTGCACTAATTTTGTGCACTGGGCCTCGAACATATTCCAAAGTGACTGGTATACAATGTATTTTCTCCATTTGTTAGACAGTATATAGTTTCTAACACAGTCATATAGAAAAGAAGACAAGCTCACCCTCTTAAGTTTCTAAGGACCCATTTTTGTATGTTGCCTCTCTTTTATATCTTATTTATATTTTATTCAAAAGCTGCCATTTCACACAGAAATAGTTATTATATGCAAATAGGTTCACTGTGTTGTGGGTAATCTTAGTCTTTTGACTAGGCAATACTTATGACACTTTAGAATATAAAACTTCCATTAACAGACAGTAAAGTCTATGTGTTGTCCTTTGTAGATAAAAATAATACACTAATATATTATTATTATTAATCTATGTGTGGCTTCATTTATGTTTTCAGTGGAAGTGATATTCTGCATTAAGCTCTGACCAAGTTTTCCCTGAAACTAATAGAATCTTCTGAAATATAGCTGGTTGGGTTAGGGATGCAATTTGTGACAAACCAAGACAACCCTTAGGCCTCACTAACGGATGCTCTAAGAAAATGATTAATGGAGCACAGACAAAATGGAGCCAACAATCTTCACTGTTGCCCCAAAGCATATTAATATATAATATGCAGCCCTTAAGCCCTCGACAGATACATTATTTAGTTGAACATTTCTTTCTGGTCAATATTAGCTATAGGATTTATATAATTTGAACTATCAGCACTTCTACATTAGATGAATCACAGCAGGAACAGTAAAATTTGTTTCATGATGAACAATCCTAAAACTCTAATGAAGTTTATTCATCCAGAAGGAAGGAAACACACACAGAGAGACACTGTCATCATCAGTTAATTTCATCACATTCCTCAGAATGTATTAAAATAGTATTATTCTAGGGACCTCCCAGAGTCATTTATAACTACAATAAGTGATGACAATAATTAGCCCACAGAATTCACAAGAGGATTACCTGATAGTCTGGTTTTGTAAAATAATCCAAAGAGGAGATATGGTCCAGAAAGATGCTGAATTCTGGAGGGAGATGTTTCAACATAAGCTTGTGGTCATACCTCTCCTTAATAGAGCCTACTTGCTCCTGGGAAGAAAAGAGAAATGGAACCAAAGTCAATTTCTCTTGGCAGCTACACATTAAGAGCCTCTCAGTAACAGTCTCAAGGGTATGTGCTAGGGATAATTAAGTATAAAGCATGAACTGAGCTCATACTAATAGCTTAATGCATACTGCTTTAAGGGGTTGGGAGGGGATCTGTAAGGCAGAACCAAAGGATAATACCGAGTTCTGCATCAATGAATCGTTAGCTCTCCCCGAAAACAGTTGATCTTAAATCTGGTTATCAACACAGGTATTTACATTTCAAATCAAACAATATAATGTGACAATTAAAATAAGAGTTTCATTGATTTATAAAAAAGGGAGAGAAACTAATGAAAGTAAAAACTAAGAGGGAAGTCTAGAAATCAAATCAGAATAATTATACTTAAATTAGTATCTATTCCTGTGTACATAGAAAAAGTCATAAAATTAACTAGATCTCTAATATCAGGTCACAGATATTTGGTATTATATACTGAAAGTGCTTATAATTTTAATTCTTATACCTAAATATATTCTCAATCAAAATGCCTACAAAGGAGGAAGTTTTATTATTTTCCCTACCCAAAATTGACATTTCCATTTTCAAAATTACCTTGTCTTTTATTTTTCTCCATGGCAACTGCCCAACCACAAACTCCACCAACATGTAGAATAAGGACCAAAGATCATCATGTCTTCCCATTTCCTTCATAAGCGAAACAAAATCCAGTCACATTATATTAATATACTCCCTGTGAGTATATTACATTGTCTAAGACCTAAGACCTAATTATTGTGTTTCATCCTATAATAAGGCCTAAATATTTAAATATAGTTCCCCCAAGTGAGAGAGAGAGAAAGAGACAGAGACAGAGAGAGAGAGAGAGAGAGAGAGAGAGAGCGCGCACAAGAGAATGAGCGCAAGCGTACACTATATAGCAATGTACATGGCAGAGGAGTATACTAAAGAACTTGATTAAAGAATACCCCAAACCCAGAATGCTGACAACAGTATAATTAACAGCTCATTAATTAATAAATGAATTCATTAAGAGATAATGTAGTTGCTAAGGAAAGAGGGAAGGGAAATTAGTGTTTAGTGGGTACAGAGTTTCAGTGTTGTAAAATGAAAAAGTTCTAGAAATCTGTTGCATAATAATATGAATATACTTAACACTAATGTATTACATACTTTAAAATGGTTAATATGATAAGTCTAATGTTACATGTTTTTTAGCACACACACACACACAAAAAAGAAATAAAGGAAATATTAAGAGCCAAAATTAAAGGAAAGCTGGAAATAAGAGAAGCCAATTGCTGCTGAAGCTTCTACTTTGGCTGTTTTAGAAATACTGTCAGGTTTTATCAACCACACTTTTATCAATCAGGAAAGAAACAGGTGTAAAAGCACTGAGCTTATATGACAGGAGTTGCAACTGAGCAACTCCCCCCACCATCACCTCATAGCTAGGACTTTCAGAGGGTGATCTTTAGTGCTACATTAGGTATGTACATTATAATAAACGAGAGGCCCAGTGCACTAATTCATGCACCAGTGGGATCCCTTGGCCTGATCTGATGGATCGGGCTGAAACGAGCTCTCTGACATCCACCGACGGTGCCAGATTGCAAAAAGGTGCAGGCTAGGCCAAGGGACCCCACTGGTGCACGATCGGGGCTGGGGAGAGATGCAGGGGGGACCATGGAGGGCTCTAGGGCGTGTCCAGCCCATCTCACTCAGTCCCAATCGGCCAGACCCCAGCAGCAAGCTAACCTAATGGTCGGAGCATCTGCCCCTGGTGGTCATTGCACGTCAAAGCAAACAGTTGAGCTGCCTTAGCATATCATGTGCTTTGATTGGCTGAATGGCTGACCTGATGTCCAGACACTTAGCATATTAGGCTTTTATTATATAGGATATTTTTTTCCCTGTAGAATTTAACCACTCTCAAGGAATAAAGTGAGTAGTTAAAAAAAGATTTTTCCCTGAGAGTTTGTTACTGCAAGTCTGCCCCTCTTTCAATATATGAGAATTAAATTTATACCACTTTTATGGTCTGAGAAATCAAGCCCAGGAATGAAGTATTTTCTGGGTGATTCTGTCCAGCAGTGATGACAGATGTAAATGAAAATCCTTTCAAGATAAAAACACCATTAAATTCAGGACTTCTTTGAGGCCCACTAAATAGAAGCTCATTATGTGAAATTATAAAATGTATTATAAAGCAGGCTCCTATAACTGGAAAAGAGAAACTGTAAATAATATAATTAGATATTAAAATTTTTCAGAAGTGAAATTATAGGATACAAAATAGAAAATAAGAAAGCGTAAACAAACAAAAAAGATTAAAGTCATGAGAAAGGAACCATATCCAAAAAATAAAGATAAAAATACCAATTAGAATTGAATAAGGACTAAAAGAAATCTAGAAATAAAAAGTATAATTACAGAAATTAAAAAATAAGTAGACAGGTTAAAAATCTGATCAAACAGCAGAAAAAAAAGAATTAATAGACTGGAAGACAGATCTAAAAAAATTATCTAGAATGCAACACAGAGACACAAAGAGTTAGAAAATCTGAGAGTGAACTTAAGAGGTATAAAGAACAGACATACACTGATTTAAAGATATCGAAAAAAGGCATAGAGAGAAATAGAAAGGCAGTATTTACAAAAGTAATGTCTGAGAATCTTTCAGAATCAATGAAAGACAAGAATGTTCACATCTAGGAAGCATAATTCTCAAACAGAATAAATATAAACAAATCCACACTTAGGCATGTTTGAATATATCTACAGGACACCAAAAGTAGGCAAAGAAAAGTAAAAATTAAATTCAAGATACCAACAATTAAATGAACAATGATCTTCTCAATAACAACCATAGAACCAGAAAAAGTAATTTCTTCAAAGTATTGAGATAAAAGAAATATTAATAAGGATTAAAATGTAGGACAACAATGAGATGAAATAAACAGTCCTCATTTTGTTTGGAAACTATTCATGTTAAATGTTTAAGGAAAAAGATAGAAAGAAAAGAAGAATAAAAGGAAGGAAGGAAGGAAGGAAGGAAGGAAGGAAGGAAGGAAGGAAGGAAGGAAGGAAGGAAGGAAGGAAGGAAGGAAGGAAGGAAGGGAGGGAGGGAGGGAAGAAGGAAGGAAGGGAAGGAAGGGAGAGAGGGAGGGAGGGAAGGAGGGAATTATATTTGAAATCACCAAATCAGAATAGCAGAGTATGGAAGAAAGAAGTTATCAGAACTATCTGGGGAATCTTTTTAAGTTAGACAAGCACCTGTGAAGGTTTCATTACTTGTACTCCTGTGTCACCACATAAACTGGCAATTGCTCTGAAGCAGTGTTACCGTATAAAGCATTCTACTCCTCAGGTGTGTTAGGAGAAGAAAAGTACAAACCACTATTACGTGCTATGAAATTCTTCTACCAAGGGCAGATGAATAACAAGTTGGCAGGTTAACAGAGTAACTTTCAGATCATCTGTGCTGGAGAGGCTTTTAGAAGATCTCTACTCTTCATATTAAATCTCTAATAGCAATTTTGGAAATGCTTATAGAGCTCCTATGACTTCTGAAAATGTTTATGCTTAGCTAAGAAAGAATGTCCTATTTCAAAGATCCAAAGCTGGCATAATACTTTAATAGCATCTATATACATAAAAGGCTAAGCGACCAGCCAGTAGTAAAGATGCGCACTGACCACCAGGCAGAAGCTCAACGCAGGAGCTGCCAAGCGATAGCAACTTTGCAGAGTGCCCTCTCGCACTCTGGGACCCTCAGAGGATGTTGGACTGCCGGTTTTGGCCCAATCCCCACAGGCCAAGCCGAGGGACCTCACCTGCCAGAAGGACCCCTGCCCATTCCACAGACACCCTTTGAGCCCTGGTGTCACCCTGTGTGTGGCCAGCCAAGGAGGGACCATGAGAGGTTGGCTCCAAGGTGTGTCAGGCCAGTCCTACCCCATTGGCCACCTTCTAACTAATTTCCTTTCAATGTGCATGAATTCGTGCACCAGGCCTCTAGTTAACTATAAAGCTTAATAAAACATTTTGTAAGAATCTATCTGGAAAAAAAAGAATTCTTTTCAAGGCAGAATAACTGACTAAATGCCCTAAAATAAAACAACACTGAATCAAAATGAATGAACTAAAATGCTTGGCAGAGTGCTACCCACTGATAAAAATACTTTTCCTATTTTTAATTTATAATCACATCATAAGAAACCAAATTAGCTGGGGCATAGCATACACAACCTCAGCATACTCTGCCTTTATATTTAGCATTGGTCAAATTTTCATTAAAGCAATTTTGGCTTCACAGAACAAAAATAAGGTAACAAAAGATGAAGAAAAGATTTATCTTTAATTTCTCAATTCCATCTAAACAAGTTCAAGAATTGAGAATTCTTAAAATGCCTACCTTTTTCTACTCATAATTAAAGCTCAATTTAAGGAAAAAAATCAGAACAAAACGAAAGGACCAAAGTATAAAATAAAAATAAAAAGGTAGGGGGTATTAAAAATTTAACCCAAGAGGAAAGATATATTTACTAAGATAAAAATTTTAAAGTCTGCATTTGAGATCTTCATGAAAACAAAATATTTCAGGAGAAGAGCTACGAGAGATGAGATGCATATTATAGATAAAACTAGAGGCCTGGTGCATGAATTTGTGCACCAGTGGAGTCTCTTGGCCTGGCCTGCAGGATTGGACTGAAACCAGCTCTCCGATATCCCCTGAGGGATCCTGGATTGCAAGAGGGTGGCAGGCCAGACCAAGGGACCCCACCAGTGCATGATTGAGACCAGGGAGGGATGCGGGAGGTTGGCCAGCCAGGGGGGCGCCACAGAAGGGATCCAGGTTGTGTCCAGCCCATCTTGCTCAGTCCTGATAGGTTGGACCCCATCAGCAAGCTAACCTACTGCTCAGAGCCTCTATCCCCTGGTGGTCAGTACATATCATAGCAACTGATCGACCAGTTGACTGTCTGACCCCTAGTGGTCAGTGCAGGTCATAGCAAGCAGTTGAGCAGTCTTAGCATATCATTAGCATATTACTCTTTGATTGGTTGAATAGATGACTGGACACTTAGTTATTAGGCTTTTATTATACAGGATGATGATCCCTACATTTCACTAGGTATTGTAACAGTATGGTATTCCCAAATAATTTCTAGAAATAGAACACAAATGTTTTATTTCTTCAAAATTTTATATTAAATTCATTAATACTTATTTACTTATACCTATTAAGAACATAAGATTTCCCATACATATTATACTTCACTATTATCTCTCCTGGCAAATCTAATTTTATTTTCTATGCAGATGCACACATCTGTTATTCACTATACACCTTACCATGCACCAGTATTACTAATGCTTTTCCCTCTTCTCCAAAGCAATTTCCACACCTTCGTACTATTAAAAAAGAAATCAGTCTAACTCAAGCCATCACCATGCTTATACAGACATGACTCTAGTACAGATACCTACTCTGTTTCGATGAGCATTGATCGATGCATAACGAACTGTCCCTCGGAAGCCTGCCACAGCTCGAGGCTACAACAAAACAAAAAAGAATAATAAATAAGCTTCAAATAACGAAAGATTCAGTACACTTGAGCCATAAAGTGGATGTGAGGAACATATGCATTGCTGACAGCAAAACATTACTAAATTTCTAACTTTTGCCTCGCTGATATTGCTCAGTGGTTAGTGTCAACCTATGAATCAAGAGGTCACAGTTTGAGTTAGGGCAGGGCACATGCCTGGGTTGTGGGTTCAATCCCCAGTAGGGGATATGTAGGAGGCAGCCAATCAATGATGCTCTCTCATCATTGATGTTCTCTTTCTCTCTCTCCCTCTCTGAAATCAACAAACATATATTTTTCAAAAATAAAAATAATGTTTCATATGTAACAAATAAACTATGTATATTAGAAAACATTAAATGCTTTCATATGCTCAGACTCCTGCCCAGTATCATAGTACATGAACTAATATTCAGGCTCTGGTAAAAAGTATAGTAAGACCATGAGGAATCGCTAAGGAATCTAAGATCTCTTTGTGTTTTTGGTTATTTCATTTAAATTCCATTCAAACATGGTGGCAATTTGTATCCATATATGCAATTTGTATCTACATATGCAATTTAAATATTCATAAATTTAAGTTAATGAGCACTTACTATGTGCCAGGTACTGGGAATAAATCCAAACATGAATAATACATGATCCCAGTTCTGAGAGAGCTCTTAGGATAAAGTTTAACCTTTTCTTATTTGGCCTACAAAACATTCTATGACTTGGCACTGGCCTCATTCCAAAATGGATTTATTTGTGGTTTCTCCTACTGAAGAGATTACAGCCAACTGAAGAGACCAGCAAGTGCAATTGCATTTGGCAGTTGCACTGCAGATCTCTTTCGTTGGAATGCTCTCTCTTTGAATGCCTCCAATGGCTGGCTCTTCTACTCCCTATCAGGCCCTCTATTCTAATGCCAGTTCCTCAGAGAAACATTCCTTAAGTATCCTAATAAAAAACTACCTACCCCTGAAATGCTACTTATTCTTTTTCATTTTATTTATTTATTTATTTTTATTCTTTTTTAAAAAAATAGTTTATTGATTTTTAGATAAGGGAAGGGAAGCAAAAGAGAGAACACACACACAAAACATCTATGTGAGAACTTAACACTGATTGGCTGCCTCCTGCACACTCCCTACCAGAGAATGAGCTCTCAACACAAGGATGTGTCCTCAACCTGGAGTCAAACCAGCAGCCTCTGAGTAATCTAAGATTACACAGGAGGACACTTAACCAACTGAGCCACACCGGCCAGGACCCACTTTATTCTTCTACTCGGCTTTATTTTTTCCTCATAATACCTTTCACTACCTAGAATTGATTTTATTTATATTTTCACTTTTTTTTTTTTGCTTAGTTTCTTCCATTGGAATATAAACTGTGATGGCAGGGTCCCTATCTTGCTCATTTTACAGACATAGAAACAGGTTCTGAGAGGTACAGAATTAGTTGGTGATAAAACCAGGTATAAGGTTTTTTTACTTAAAATCATAAATTGTTTAATTCTGTGCTTCACAAGGATGGAGTCAATAACCTAAAGATTATGGCATGCACCATAGCTCATTATGAAAACTGACAAACTTGAAAATAATCATAGCCAAGAATTTTCATTAGAATTTTTATTTGCTATCAGTGATTTTAAATTACCCTCAATGAATTTGCATTACTTCTAAAAATATGTTTTTATTGATTTTAGAGAGAGGAAGGGAGAGAGAAAAATAGAAACATCAATGATGAGAGAGAATCATTGATCGATTGCCCTCTGCACACTCCCTACTGGAGAGTGTGCCCTGACTGGGAATTGAACTCTGATCTCTGAGTTCATGGTTCGATGCTCAACCATTGAGCCACACTGGCTGAGCAACATGCACTACTTCTGTAGTCAGAAAAAGTGTATAGTAAATAATATTTTAAAAATCTTTATTACCAGAATCTTTTCAACCTTATGCTGTAAGATAAATACCCTATGTATTCTTCCTCTGTTGTTTTTTTCCCTGCTGATTTTTATAATCTATGTTCAATCTATTCAAATCAGCACTCTATTTCTTCTTTCATGAACTTTTCTGCCCCTTTAATTACTCCTTTCTGTTTTTGTTGTTGTAATTGTTAATTCTCAACCAACAATATTTTTTCCATTGATTTTTAGAGAGTGTGGGAAGGAGGGGTAGAGATAGAGAGAAACATTGATATGAGAGACACATCGATCGGCTGCCTCCTACAAGCTCCCAGGGAAACATGGGCCAGGATCAAGCCTACAACCAATGTACTTGCCCTTGACTTGAATCGAACCCAAGACTCCTTCAGTCCTCAGGCCAATGCTGTAAACTGGCTAGGGCACTTCTTTTTTATTTAAGATCTAACTATATTAGAAACATTTTTTATTTAATGACAAATCTCAGTAATAAAAAAATTTCTGCAATCTATTTAAATCTCATTTATTTTCTTAGATGCCATTCATTGAAAATCATAGATAGATCGTAATATTTTCCTAACACATCATGACTAATAGGAATATTCAATATTCTCACTTGGATTGATGGAATTCTGAGGTTGGAGATTCCTTTCTAGAAGAAAAATGTGTAAGGGCATATATATGAAAGCCTTTTTAACTAAATAACATTTCAGAAATTGTACTTTTATTCATTATTTACTAAGAGTCAAAAAGAAACAAAGAGAGACACATCAATTGGCTGTCTCTTGAAAGCTCTGGGGGATCTTGTTTTGTAGCATGTAATTTTGCCTAGTCTCTTTCATTCCGATAAGTGTTGTATGAAAATACCCAGACCTATTATTGCCTCTGCAGCTCAAGTCTATTGGGCACCTAGATTCTTTTCCCACCACCCCACCTCCCCATCCCCACCCCGTGGGTTCTAGCCAACATAAGCCCAGGAAACATACTTTCCAGTTAAAAGTAGCCCTCGCCTGGCTCTGACCTTACTTCTGTAATTGCCATTGAAAAGGTTGAGATATAGGTAAAAAGAGATCAGCTGTTTTATTTTATTTATTTTTTAATTTTTAAAAATATATTTTATTGTTTTTTTACAGAGAGGAAGGGAGAGGGACAGAGAGTTAGAAATATCCATGAGAGAGAAACATCGACCAGCTGCCTCTTGCACACCCCCTACTGGGGATGTGCTCGCAACCAATGTACATGCCCTTGATCGGAATCGAACCTGGGACCTTTCAGTCCGCAGACCCATGCTCTATCCACTGAGCCAACCTGGTTTCGGTGAGATCAGCTGTTTTAGAGAGATCTTGATATGACTGACTTATCAAAGAAATAATGCCAGGTCAACAAAATTTAGCCACCTTATGCAATGCAAAAGAAACAATATACCCAATTGGGGAAAACAGCCATCCCATTTAATAAAAAAGTAATATGCAAATTAACCATCACTCCGCTATGCCCACAAGCTATGCCCACCAACCAATCAGAGAAAATATGCAAATTAACCCCAACCAAGATAGCTGCGGCCGCTGAGTGAGCAGGAGGAAGGCTTGGGTTACCCTGGCAATGGAAGAAGCCAAGCTTTCCACACACCCTGTCAGGCCCAGGCCTCCCCTCAAGGCTACAAAGTTTCAATTATAGAAGGTAAATAAATTCCAACAGAAATGGCAGCAGCCACAGAGTGAGCAGGAGGCTTGGCTTTGCTCCAGGCTACAAAGTTTCAATTATAGAAGATAAATAAACCCCAGACACCAGGGTCTCCACTTGGGTTGCCAGGAGGCATGGCCGGCCTGCAAACCACACAGGCCCCTCGCACAGGCCACCCCATGACCAAAGGGAACTCTCATCCTGATCTGGGACATCCTTTAGGGCAAACCAGCCGGTCCTCACCCATGCACCTGGCCTCTATCCTATCTAATAAAAGAGTAATATGCAGATTGACCATCACTCCAACACACAAGATGGCTGCCCCCATGTGGTCAAAGATCCTGCCCCCATGTGGATACAAGATGGCCACCACAAGATGACCAGTAGGGGATGGCAGTTGGGAGGGATAAGGCCTGCAAGGGAGGGCAGTTGGGGGTGATCAAGCCTGCAGGGGAGGGCAGTTAAGGGGGGACCAGGCCTGCAGGGGAGAGCTGTTGGGGTGACCTGGCCTGCAGGGAAGGGCAGTTAGGGGTGACCAGGCATGCAGAGGAGGGCAATTAGGGGCAAACAGGCTGGCAAGGGAACAGATAGACATCAATCATGCTGGCAGGGGAGTGGTTAGGGGCGATCAGGAAGGCAGGCAGGTGAGCAGTTGGGAGCCAGGAGTCCTGAATTGTGAGAAGGATTTCTGACTGCCCCAAGGGGTCCCAGATTGGAGAGGGTGCAGGCTGGGATGAGGGACACACACACACACCCATGCACGAATTTTGTGCACTAGGCCTCTAGAGCGTGTGTGTGTGTCTCTCTGTGTGTGTGTGTGTGTGTGTGTGTGTGTATTTCTAATTCAAAGCAGATTATAATGGACATCATTAACAAAGTAAAAAAGCCTAGGAGTGGTACAGATTAGTTCTATTTAGTGGAAAGGAAGAAGGAAAAGCCCTATGGAAGTAGGAAATGTTTTAAGAATAAGGCAACTTTTAACTGGAACTAGACATAAGTTAGCTCTTGAAACTTCTCTAATTGATGATATTTTGATTGATAGCTTTCAAAATTGCAAATGCATGCATTCTTTATGACCTGGCAATTTCATTCTAGAAATTTATCTTACACATATACTTTGTATATATGCAAAAATAGTGAATGTACAAATTTATCCACTACATTAGTGTTTGTGATAGCAAAAGAACAGAAGTAACCCAAATGTTCATCAATAGGGGACTGATTAAATAAATTACAGTACACCCATATAATGAAATATAATCTGTAGATGCAGGGGAAAAAAAATAAGAAGAAGCTCCATATCCTATATGGAAAGATCTAGATACACTGATAGGTAGGGAAAAAGTGCAGAATGTACATCATGCTACCTTTTGAATCAA